GTCTGAAGGCTAATTTTTGCGGAAAATTCGGGTTTCTTGGCATTCGACGCGCTGCGCCCGCTGTTTCATAACGATCAAATATCATCGGAGGAGCAAATTTTCCTTCAAGTATGTTCTTTAATGGTGTAAGATATAGTCACTCTGGCCAACTTCCGTCGATGGCAACCCTTGTGCTCAGTATTCGAAACTCACAGGCGCCAACGCGCCAAATGCGCCTAAAACAGAGGTCATTGCTTCTAAAAAAGAAGGCTCTGCGCCAACGTGGCCCTTAAAAATTGCCCCTTTAAAATCTGAATTTTCATATCAGGTGATCATTTGAAATTTTCAGCATTACAATTAGTGAGAGCTTTTTCTATTCTTCACGATTTCATCCTTAGTGCTTTTGTCTTCACCAAGTCACAGCTACCTACTAGTTCTGTTACAAAAACATCTAAATTTGCGTCTAATTTTTCACTAAATATGCCGTAATACGAGGGTCATCCAAAAAGTAAGTTTCCCTACCTTGTATCTTCCAAACGAAAAGAGATAAATCAAATCGGTAAAAAAGCATATATTAGTCATACTCTAAGCTTTAAAACAAGCTCAAGTTTTTGAAAATCGGTTAAGGCATTCGCGAGTAAACTTAATTTTACTGAGACAACCTCCTGTCGCCGCGTGCCCACCTCCGGGGTCAGGATGCGCGGAGAGTCGATTATAGAAGACTCGGGTTATCGCCTCTATATATCACATCAACAAGGAATTTTAATGTTTTCATTGAGTAGGCCTCACCTTACTTTTTGACATAGTTTCCACATCTTTTTTGATATTTCTGGTATCATCATAGCAGCTTCTTGATGCCTTTCGCTTAGAAGCTTTCGCCTTGACTCTGAAACCAGTCATTGACAGCGATCTGTACCTCTGAATCGGTTGAAAATCGCTTCCATCGTGGAAGTTTTTCCGCTCGGAAACAAATGGACGTATTTCTGTCAAACGGAACTAAGCGCCAATTTGAGTTCCTTTTGAGGAATTTAGAATACCGGATAGCGCGTTCTGTCAAACGGAACTAAGCGCCATGGAAAAGCATTGCGAGTATAGGACGGAATGAGCGCGACGCCCAATTCCGCCGCCAATCCAAGCCCCCCTCTTCCATCCTCAACCTATGGCGCTTTAGTTCCGTTTAACAGAAATACGTCCAAATGAAAGTCACATGAAGCTAAAGTACGAAAGTTTGAAGGATTGGGGGAAAATTTCCCTACGCAAAGCAACTGATTTGGGAGTGCAGATCGCTGTCAATGACTAGTTTCGGAGCCAAGACGAGATCTTCTACGCGGAGGGCGTCAAGAAGCTGCTGTATAATGATACCAAACATGTCAAAGAAGATGTGGATACTACGTCAAAAAGTAAGGTAACTACTACTAACTACTAGTAAGGTAGAAACTCAATGAAAACATTAAAATTCCTTGTTGATGTGATTTATAGAGGCGATAACCCGAGTCTTCTATAATCGTCTCTCCGCACATCCTGACCCCGGAGGTGGGCACGCGGCGACAGGAGGTTGTCTCAGTAAAATTAAGTTTACTCGCGAATGCCTTAACCGATTTTCAAAAACTTGAGCTTGTTTTAAAGCTTAGAGTATGATTAATATGTGCTTTTTTACCGATTTGATTTATCTCTTTTCGTTTGGAAGATACAAGGTAGGGAAACTGACTTTTTGGATGACCCTAGTATATAGGCAAAAAGTCAATCTGGCCCCTAAAAAATCTTCAATGGCGCCTAAAATTCAGGCTTGATGCGCTCCATGGCTCCTAAAACTCAAAGGTGAGTTTGGAACACTGCTTGCGCTCATAGTGAAAACGAAATTTTTAGACTTTACTTGTTTTTCATCATTATTTAGATGGCGTCTGATTAGATCACAAATCTTAGAAATGTGTAATCTTATCAGGCGCAGTTCGAGGCTTTCATACCGCAAATTTATCATAAAATGCAGAAAAATTACGCTTTCGTACCTTTAACACAACATACTTTCGAATTGTTGCATTTAACAAATCTGAAATTTGTTTGAAATTTTAACTCTATTTGGACGCATTTCGAGGCTACCGTATAACACAGATCTTCATGAATTTCCGCAGAAAAACTTTTTTTTTACCTTAACACGAAATACTTTCGAATTGTTGCAATCAACAAATCTGGAAATTGTTTGAAATTTAAACTGTATTTAGGCGCATTTTTTGACGAAAATTTTATAAAATACTAATCAAATGAACACTGTGGTTTCATTTAAGACTCTACATCAAAAGAGATAAATATCTTCGAAGGCCTCAAACTTTTTCTTTTCTCGTCTTTCCTCATCATCTTCTGTCTCCTCTTTCCTTCACCCTTTCCCCCTTTTTTTTGCTTTCGGCGGGGAGGGGGGTGGGGGGCTCGAGCCCCGTACCTGAAAGTGACATAGAACCCTGTGGGCATATCCGGGTGGTATTACCAACGGCAGGTGGACGGTAGAGTCGTGGGCTGCCCAGCGCATATTGCATCTGTCATCTAGTACCTCGCTCATTACAGATATGAGGCTGAACTAGAAAAACTAAGCGTTTGCTAGATGAATACGCGTCATTTCTCCAAAATTCTACAATGGTAGCTCCAAATGAGTTGTCTGATGGGAGGAACCTGATGAAGAGACAACAGATGAGGAAGCGGTAAGGAGGCTAGGCAGGAGTGAACCAGGAAAACCAGAGTTTCCAATTATTTTTGGGAAGTAGAATTCTGATCGATCGCAGGCAATAAAAGTGACGGAGGGCAGGGCTTGTCAGGGTGGGTAAAAAATCAGCATTGAGAACTCGTGATTCTGACACATGGCTTACTTTTTATTCGGATCCCGGATCACGGTCAATGTTTCAAAGTTGCATCTTCGTGCGTAAATATCACGTCAAAAATTCGTAAGATAATGGGTCGCCTACAAGCCCAAGATCATAATAAAAACTTCACCTGCAAAAAATATGATCTATTTGCATCCCTGAATACAGTAATTTGAGTCCTACGTATTTATTTAATGCGCATAATGCGGAATAATGGCTCAAATCTTGGGCCAACTCGGAATAATTTTCTCGATTTTTACCGATGATATGTGGCAATGCCGCGCCGCGATGGGAGTCTCTTTAGATAAATACATGTAATGAACAAAATAATAATAGATAAATGCATGTGCATATTCACTAGTCATGTGATCGTTACGTATGAAAAATCAAGGGTTTTGAACTTTGCTGAATGAGCTCCACGAAGAACAGCCTCCAAATACTGAAATAATCACAAATAGTTTTCTGTGATTTTAGGCAACAAAATATGGCAACACCGGCTTTTTCTTTGGAGGAGGGGGGGCTTTTAATTCTATAAAGTTTTTTGGAGGGCTACGTACAATTTCCGCCAAGGAATCTATTTCTGGTTNATAACTAGAGTGCGCTACCAGCCAGGAAGAATAATGAAAATTCATTTTATACACTCTTTGAATTTGGTTATATAACTTTTATACTAAGGGTTACATAATAAAATAAGTTTTTTAGTAAACTTTTAACTAAAAAACTTTACATCCATTACATAAACAATGAATATTCTTTAGCTTGTGGTTATTTACGGTTTATACTTTTAAAAACAAATTTTTTATATAACTCTGCTACTAGGGTGGACTATAGTTTTTTGGCTCATCATAGAAAAAACACATGTGCCATTAGTTTAATTATGCAGGTAGGTCCTTTTCTGGGGGAGCTGGCGGTCTGGAAATAATCTTCTGAACAAGGTACAAATAGACTGATTTAGTGGCTACGTCATACTTCAATTGCAAACAAACACATAATCTTGTCTCTAGTTCGCGCCCTTCGCACCACGGTGGTAAAATGCATATAAGTGTTTCTTACAATTGAAATTTTTCGTGTTTAATGAGTCCTTAATTGATTTATGACCTATTGATGACTATAAATTGCAATGCATTAACACAATTAACTCACACAGAATCGGCACATTAGTGAATGTTTGTTTTTGGTCGAACCACTGAGTTCGATATTATATCGAATGACGTAGTCACTAAATCAGTCCATTGTTTTCTGTGTAAGATTTTGAAGAGAAACCAAGTGACGTTTTCTTCTATTTCAGACCTTATCTATTTTCCCTTTATAATTATATCCACGTTATTTGCTCGGATGATTCCAGGTCGGAAGAAAAAAGACTCGTACCACGCGGCGGCCATGTGGTCGGCAGGGACGTTAGCAGCCGTCGGGTTCTCAGCCCTGGCAGCCATGTCCGGCAAGGCCCTCATGACGTCCATGATCGCCCTCCTCTTGGCGGCTATGTCAGCGTTCAAGCACCACGGAGGCGGCAAGACTTCCCACTACGAGATCATCACCAAGCCGGCCCACTATCACGACCATGACCACCTCCACTCGGCCAGCTACACCGGCGCCCCCTACAGCTACGCCCGGCATCTCGTCATCGCCCCTGCCGAAGACGATCGCAACGGGCCCCCGGACGAGTACAAAATCCCCTTCAGGCCCTACCCCTTGTCCCCCACCTACATCCCGGCGCATGATAAATGACGCCGGGCTGATTGGGCCCCTCAGATAGGCCCCCCGGATGAGTACAAAATTCCCTTCAGGCCCCGCCCCTTGCCTCTCACATACATCCCTGCTCATGAAAAATGACCTAACGTCAAGATAATATAAGAAGTAGACGACATTGTTTGTCTTGCAACAAGATACATTTCTGGGCCAAATTTTTTTGAAAAGCATCAAAAACTGGGGGAAGCGTACATCAACTCAGTGTTACCTGATATACCGGGATGGGCAAAAGAAACGCGCGACACGCCATTCGACGATGTGCCACAAATAGGGGGTCTCCATTTGAAAACTTTAATATCTTGAGGGGGTGCTCAGCGATCGGGGGGTCGTAACCCCCCAAAAAGTTGTCCCCCTCGATGATTAGGACAGCAGCCCAAACCAGAACATTTTAACTCAATAATTGAAAGAGTTATGGTGTATCGAGCGTTTGTTTTGCCCACCCCGGTATACGAGGGGCCCAAAGCGTTAGAGGTGTATTTGTCACAAGGGAAGACAAAAGTCAAATTGCGAAAAAGAACATTACGTTATAATACGTCCTTTGGAGTATAATTTTAAGAGGAAGGAATGATCATTCCCCAAATTGTGCGTCGATATGCTTGTCACTCCTTTTCTTCAGACTTATTAACTCTTATTTGAGCTATGCTGTTGTGTGCAGAGGTCATTGTTTGGAATCCAAAATTTCCTCTCAAAAATTACAAATCCTCACATCCTAGCTCGGAAAGGATTAATGTTCAATTATCAATGGTATCTAGATACGGCCATCATACATTTTCCTCAAACCACTAGGCTAAGTGGAACAAATCCAGAAGGTTTAGATTACGGAAGTGACTGAAAAATAAGTTAGTCGAGTGGGTCGCGGTTGAATAGCATTTTAATGGTTAAGTTTCACAGTGAAGGAAAAAGTAACACGTTTTGCCCAAACGTCAAGTCACCATGTCCAATAAAAATAGAGATACTGGCACTGAGGAACACAGTGAGTTATGTCATTCAAAAATTGCTTAAGTCATTTATGCCAAAGTCTCCTCAACCATAGTATCATCGGGTGCAGATTAATTTAATAATCATTGGCTACTCTACATCTACACGCACTATTGATAAGCCCAGGGTAGAAAATACCATGATTATACTGTTTCAGATTAAACGTAGACGATTGAGATTTAGACGAATCTTTTCATTATTTTACGGCTCTTTAAAATTCTACATTCAACAATCAAAATAGGATTCCAAGACCTATAGACATGGCTTATGGAGAAGCAATAACTCTGTCCAAAAAATTCACTTTGAGTGGCTATACGAGACTCAATTAAGATGATTGAATGAACCCATCTCCCTTCAGTCAAAAAGTTTCCTATTGTTTGGGAACCCAGGGAGTTCATCACCTCGTATTAAGAGAAATCACTTTTACGTGCGGCATAGCTTCATAAGTCCAAGGTTGGTTTTACCGAAACCAAAATGCAAATTTCATCGTCCACATTTATAACGTTCGAAAAATGAAAACTTTCTGCATTATCGCAAACAGCTTTGAACTTAGGGAAAAAATTCCACAAAAAGGCTGTGTTATCACAAGGTTCCGCATTATAACCTGTCTATAAAATGACTAGGTTTCCGGAAACGGAGCAAAAGGACTCTCTTGGCAAAATTCCTCCTTGGCTCATTAAGCATTTTATTTTTGACCCTCTTTCCTGCCGTGTTATGAAAAAGAGCCGTAAATATATTTCTGTATGAGCCACCGCTAGCATATGTTCTTGTGTATCTCGAGGCTCATCCCAGAATGAACTTACTGCGCTTTTTCGTAACATAGCAGTCTTGGTCGGTTTTCCGAGAGTCATTCTTACAAATAACGTTATGCTCACACGTCATCATTACCCAGGATGTAGTATAGAATTAAACTATGCGTTAAGATCTTACTCGGAAAAAGTGGTATGAGAAGTAGAAGTTTTTCTTTCTTTAGAAAGCATATCGATGGAAAAAGTGCTGAATGGAGTATCTCCATTGCGGTTCATCAAAATTTCCGCTCCTATTTCGTTTCTTCAAATAGAGCCAAGCCAACTTCACATGGCTTGAAATTGGCACGGGATATTCTTCTAATATAGCAGAAGAATCAAAAAAAATTTCAAGAAATTACTTTGACCAGTTTCCCAAAAAATAAAACCAGGAAAGTACGACGGAAAGTCTGCGACGTCGATAACAGAGAGATCTAGTTGTGCACTTGGGTAATCGGTATGAAAGGACATTCACAACAGTGGTGCGAGAATTTTTTTTTAAATTTTTTAACGTCTCAATTTATATAGGATTTAAACAGATTTTTTTTTTTCAACACTATCTATCCCTGTGATGATTGTGAAAAAACCCTTGGATTAATTTTTTAATAAAAAAATTAGAACAATTTCAACTGAAAACTGCATTGAAAAGTCCAAAAACAGGTAGTTCTGGTCATAAATTCATTCAGCTGAACGAAAGCAGAAGAACGGCTCTCATAGGGTTCACTAACCCAATTGCAATGGTAAATGACCAATTTTGAAATTTTTGGCACCGATTCCGGTTGCAACTACCCGAGTTTGAAGCTCAGCATAGGCTGTGAGCAAGAGAAAGATTAGGTCTTTTCTTTTTTATGTATTCCTATGTGTATTTCTCGGTGGTAAATTGTTTCTCCTAATGTTATTATTGCTCAAATTCAGGAAAATTAGATACCTCAAACTCCTGTATAATTAAATTGGTCCATCATTTCGAGAAAATCACTCAAGTCATTCGCACAATATTGTTATACAGGGTCATGGTTGTGAAAAAACGAGAAAAAATAATCTCAGTAGTTTATAAAAAATGGACCATAAAAATGATAAATAATTTATTTGTAAAAATTGCTTTGTACAGTTTGTTCTGCGTGTTAATGTTATTTTAATTTATGAATTAAAACTTAATTTATTGATTCTATTCACCATTCCTGATTTTCTCCGATAGAATTAAGTACCTACTTAAGTCGGAAATAAAGTGTTTCGATTTTTTGTGTTTTTCCTATTTCCTAATTCTCTATTTGAACCACCGATCATTCATGAATGGAGAATTTGCAAGTGTCTAAAATTTTGTGAATTTCATCTTTAAAATGGTACTGCTAGGAAAACTGAGTCAGCGGATAGCCTTGGTTTCTAAATTGATCAATTATTGAAGAAAATATGACAAAATAACCTAATCTGCTAAAATACGCATGTTTAAATGGAAAATGCCGCCAGATGACGTCATGAGGTGGCACATTTTCTCACTTTTAAATCAATTTTTCTCCAATTTCCCATGTCAGAAAAAAATTATGAAAAATACTGCGAACTCAGGTCATCGGGCACTCTCAGATAAGGCAATACAATTTTTGTGTGCAAATTTTCCATTGTTCCATATGCTACAAAAATCTACAAAAGCATGTTGTATGTAACACTTGTAAATATAACCAAAATTTCTGTTGTAGGGATTTGATTGTGAAAACACAATGCCGAGGTATTATGAAAATGCTTTTTCATGAGTAAGCATTTTCATAACACCTCGGCATTGTGGTTTCACAATCAAATCCCTACATTCATAACTGGTGTTACGGTGATTGGCATCACCATGTTCAAGTAAAAAATTTCTGCTATCATTTACGAGTTAAAAAGTCATCAGAAAACAAATTTCAAATATTTTATATCACCTTAAATTACTTTGATTAAAAACAACCAATGAAAAGCAAGATCAAACGATTTCTCTTAGTCTTCCAAGGAGCTACAATTATAAATGTTGCCAGAAGGCGGGTTATTATCATCTAACAGTACTGTGTTAAAAATCAAGTGGACTTTTTGTGGATTTGCCAGACTTTTTTAGTGTACTTAATCGTATAATTTATTTGCTGGATGACTTCACGAAATCACGAACATGGAATCAACATAATAAATAATGACTCTTTGGTGATGATAGTGTCAAGATTTGCGTCGCATTGTGCGAGCCATTTAATTGGTACCATTTATGAAGGGTTGCAAACATCGATGGAAACAGACGTCTCGGTGTCACTCTATTTCTGAATAATTTTCATCAATTTTTTCACGGGAATCGAGCTATCACCGTAGGCAGCAATGAAAGAAGTGAAGCTCATGTCAATATACAGTTAATAGATTATAATAATTTTAACAGCTCTCAGCGACATCGAATCACAAATGAAGACTGACATACTATTCCGCAATGCTATCAATGAAAAGTAACATGCGTCAATCGAATTTTTGATACCTGACCTAGCACGTAATCAGTCTATCTCCTTCGGATGATGGTAAGGGGGCTGTTGGGATTAGAAATGCAAGATAATTATGAAAGGTATTTAAAGGAATTACCTAATTTTAATGTATTTCAGAGATTGTATTTTTAAACTACAGCTTTGTTTTGAGATTGGGCTGCCTTTGACTAGGTAATTGATAATATGAAATACTAAAGAAATACGAAATATTAGAATATAGACTGCCTCGCGATTTCGGAAAAACTATATTCACGCAGACTAAGTTGACGAAAAACATCATACTTGCTTATATCATTTCACTGAATACTTTTGAAGAGATTATCTGTATGCTCAAATGGTTTTTGACAAGATAGTATCTTTTTACGGTCGTAAACTAACATCTCTCTATACGTTTTTTGTTTCATTTTCATGAATGAAAAAAACGATACTAATAGATTTTGCAAGATGCGTTTAACCAGATTCCAGAATTTTTCTCTCTTTTTAGTTATCAAATATGAATATTGAAATGAGTGGCTTAATGAGGCCTTTCTCGTGCTAAATGCCCGGTGGAAAGTTACCAAACTATCCTGCTCGACTTTGAACTTACTTCTAAAACATTTATGAATTTCTTAAAAAGAGAATATATATTTTAATTGCAGGAGCTGAGGGTATTATTACCTTACATTACATCATATATGAGGGTATTTCTGCTAAACGGAACCAGAGACAGGTGGGAAAAAAGGGATGTGCTCGTTAGTCGAGGGTCGTAAGAAAGAATGGGAATTATAGAGCGCCAGTGACGTCAGTGGCAACGACGGAGCGTACGCGCGCCGATCCGGTAATGCATTAACTCATGAGCCCTGTTCGCAACGTCCTTGTCACATTTCCATGGCTCATAAGTGCCGCCCACACTTGGCGCTTAGTTCCGTTTAGTAGAATGTAAAATCCCGCTTTTCCATTTCCTTAAAGAAAATCACGCCCAATTTACACTTTGTCTTATCAAGCTTTTTAGAGCACACCCCATCTTTTCCACTTTTCCATGGTTCCCTTCAGCAGAAATACGTCCACATAACATTGAAACCTGATTTTGTGTCATTTCTAATGTCTAAATAGTGGTTTCAGCTCTTACGCAGAGATCTAATATCCTAAGCTAAACTAATTCAGTTCAAATAATAGTAATCAGTTGCAGGATCCCTTTTGATTGGTAGATACTGCGGTCTCGCCCACTTTCGCGGCGGTGCTAGTAAGTCCGTTAATATCGCGAGAAGCCGCATTTTTTCTTCATCGTCTATGTCTGGGGGAACTTTAACCTGGAAACAGAAACATTGGAGTGAGATGGACTTCAAATTGAACCGTCAATCTTCAATAATTAATACTCACGCAAGCAACCACGACATTATTTTGCAACTTTAATTGGAGTAATGTATTAGTGTTTAATACATAACATAACCCTAAGTTTTATGGGGATAGAATGAGTTTTTCTAACACAAGTACCACATTTAAGAAAATCAAAATTCGGGCTCGTCACTTTATGTGAGGTCTAAACGAGTTTCTGCGCATATCAAGTTACCATAGAGAGAAAGATTTGCACTGACTCTCAAAGAGCTTTGATTTATTTATTCTTTGGACTAAATTCTGCAATGATGAACTACTAAGATTAGCTCATTTTAGAAACAAAATACGTCTCATAAGATCTATGTGTGTACATGTAATTTTATAAATGAACCAGAACTAGTAATTCCTCATTGCAAAATGTGGTCAATTTAGTGCATGAAAAATAATGAGAAATTAGTCATTTGTAGAATATTGTTGATTGTTCGTGGGTTGCTTGTAAGAAACTGAGAATGCATCGCACAATTGGAATATTAGGGAGAACATGCACACCATACAAAGAGGTTTTTTTGTTTTTATTCTATTTTCAACCCAAACAATTTTATCGAATCGAAGGAAATTGGTTCAAGATTTCCCACTGTGCGTTCATTTTACTAATTTGTATTACCATATTTCATATTTGGAAGTAAGTTCACGTTTCACGAAAATCCTCATTTAAGTCAAACGGAAGTTCAATGTCACTTGTGAGATCATTAACTAACGTCTCGTCTACTACTGAGGTGTTGATCGTGTGGTTTGCTGGTGATTTGAAGGCGTTTTATTCTTTGCAGTGTTTATAAAATCATTTATTGCAAGAACAAAACGAGGGAACTCACAAACGGCCTTGATGTATTTTACTTCTGTTTTGAAACGATTGGTTCCATCAACAGGTTAATGAGTACGCCTGATTCAAACGGAGAAAATATGATTAAAACTTTGCAAAGAGCTTGATGCAAAAACGGCTTTTTTCGCCCCCCCTCTGGAAGTTCTTCAGACTTTGTCTATTGATTACTCATACTTGAGCGCTTCTTTTCCCAAATTTTCAGACCCCTAACAAATTTTGGGGGGGAGCTAGGGGGGGGGTGGAAGTCAAAACCTGTGAACCTCGATATCTCTTGAACAAAGAAAGATATCGAGGTCCGGTTTGGACGAAAAATCGTCTAAAATTGCATACTTTAAGATTCTAAAGGTCGAAATCCCGATATCACATTTTTATGTCAACATATGTGCTTTTTTCCAGTTTTTAGGTCTAGAAAATTTCTTTTAAACAAAAAATTTACCAAGATTTCAATTTTTTATTTGAACCAAAACCAGTTTTTTAAATTGTTCGTCTTTTTCCGCATCCAACGAGTGGTCCATTAAGCTGGAGAATCAAACGGTTCCGGAGTTATGATCGATTGAAGTTTCCGCTCAACGCGCGCCGACCGATTTTCGCGCGCAAAAAAGTCGGATTTGACTGTTATTAGATCAGATTGAATGTTCAAACTGATCTAATAACAGTCAAATCCGACTTTTTTGCGCGCGAAAATCGGTCGGCGCGCGTTGAGCGGAAACTTCAATCGATCATAACTCCGGAACCGTTTGGTTCCCCAGCTTAATGGACCACTCGTTGGATGCGGAAAAAGACGAACAATTTAAAAAACTGGTTTTGGTTCAAATAAAAAATTGAAATCTTGGTAAATATTTCGTTTAAAAGAAATTTTCTAGACCTAAAAACTGGAAAAAAGCACATATGTTGACTTAAAAATGTGATATCGGGATTTCGACCTTTAGAATCTTAAAGTATGCAATTTTAGACGGTTTTTCGTCCAAACCGGACCTCGATATCTTTCTTTGTTCAAGAGATATCGAGGTTCACAGGTTTTGACTTCCACCCCCCCCTAGCTCCCCCCCAAAATTTGTTAGGGGTCTGAAAATTTGGGAAAAGAAGCGCTCAAGTATGAGTAATCAATAGACAAAGTCTGAAGAACTTCCAGAGGGGGGGCGAAAAAAGCCGTTTTTGCATCAAGCTCTTTCACCCGAAAATTTATCATTTTTTCAGATTTGTGCTTCATCAAGCGAATTGTTTGGTAAATAAGGCTATGCGGACTCTATGCAACTAAGAGAAACGGCAGGCTACATTTTCTCAAAATATTCTTATTTATGCACAAAAAGTAATGACCTATTTGTTGGTTTGATTTAAACAAGGCCACGCTTTATGACTTCTAAGTAATCCCTTTTTTTATTGAGCGCGGAAAACTTAATTCTTCAGGACCTTGTTCCCAGAAGGACGTCAGCATAGAACATATGGTTTGATAGAACCTCGAATGGTGTTAAATCGGCGTGAAATATGAGTTGATAATTTCTCATTCATCCGCCTACGTATCTCAATTCGTGTAACACTGTGCAGATGCGTATTTCTCTTCAGTTTTAAAATTTCCAATACAAGGAGTAGTACCAAAGATGGAAAACATGAATATACAGATTACTGATCATGTCGTTTAAGAATGAAAGTTTTTAGCCAATTTATGGTGCGCTCCTGAAATTTAAGAAAAAAAAATCATTCAACAGAGGCGTAGCCAGGAAGTCCGGTGGGGTCTAAACTCTTTACTCTTCCTCCACCCCAAATGACTCAATATTCCCCATGAAAAACAAGTAAAACTTCATGATTAAAATTAAAATACGTAAAAATCTTGAGTTTTAGAAATTGATTACATTCGTACTCCCCTCCCCTGACGAGACGTTTTTTGTCTAAGCCCCTACTCTCTCCTACTACTTTAAAATTTCTGGCTACACCACTGCCCTTCCATATGTATGTAATACGAAAAATTAAAACTGTTGCCTACGGGTCTGCTAAAAATACAGGGTTACAGGCCATTAAAACATACTGTCCATTCCGGGCTCAGAGGTGGAAAGTTTCGAGGACTGGAGCGATAGCTTCAAATGCTCCGGATGCAGAACTTGAAGCAATGGATGCTACACCCAGAACTTTCGACCTGTGAACCCTGAACGGATGGTATTTCCATATAACCCGTGCTAAAGGCTATCATAGCCAGAATTTTTTTTTTTTTTTTGGTGTACGGCATGATATGTTGATTTTTCCTCCGAGCCTCCTCAACCTACGGAAAGATGAATTGAGGGACTTAGAAGACAAAGCACATAACTGCAGTTTTAAACATAATTAAGCTATCGTTCATTTCAACTGTAGCTTGTTGTTGAGTATATTTTGTGAAAAATTCACAACTTAAATAAAATCTTTAAGCATCTAAAAGTGAGTTTGGGCTCTCTTTCGCTCTAAGCCTCCATGCAATTTTAAAACTTCAAACATGTATTTCTTGAGATAGCAAAAACTGCACCTGTGCACCTTGTCCTCGAAACCCCTTAATTGTTAAAGTGATTGAGCTGTGCAGACCTACGGATGAGGAGGGGGGTCAATGCGGAGTGTAAGACGGATAAATTTCCTTTACTTGGGCTCTGTACGCATTCAAAATCTGATCCTCGTCCATGAGGTTCTTGCGGCCCCCCAGGACGTCGTGGCGGCCATTAACATCAATCAAAGCACCTCCGCAGTTGGTCAGTCGACCGCCGATCCCGCCGAGGCCGAACTGCCGCCAAGCGCTCCCCGCGGACAGGATCAACGACAGGATGGACAGCATCAGCGCCTTCCCGGTCAGCATGATCAGCGAGGAGGCCCCCATCGCCGCCATCGTCCCGGCCGCCCACCACGCCAGGTTGTTGTTCCCTTTCCGCCGGGCCAGCTTCGACGCCTTCATCAGCCGCCCTGCAACACGCAATGCAAACCAATCACATCCGCTCCTACAGTTATCATGAGGCGAATTTTCACGAGTAGATTTGGTTGAAGTTTTTAACGCTCCGCCAACTTCCGTTACAATAAAACGAAATTCCCTCCAGGTGACGGGCGCCGACAACATTTGGTTTTCATATTGGTAGCATTGACAACCACATCAAACATTCCAAAAGCATGAGTTAAAAAATGCTGATTCTACGAGTATAAATATTAGAGCCAAACAGAGTAGAGCGGCGTGCTCCGTGCTGCCATACCAGCGGGAGAGGCTCACTGACGCCTACAAACCTAAGTGGATACCTCACGCATTGCGGAATGCTTGAAGTATCCACTTAGGTTTGCAGGCGCCAATCCGCGTTTCGCGCTGGCTGTCCGCCCGTCGTGCGGCGGCGCCTTAAGCAACTATTTCACATTAGAGGTGTTGCGCAGTATGATACGAAATTGAACGTATGTACGTACTATATGTGGTGAATGACATGCATCCTTTAAAAGTACAGATATTTCCTCGCAAAATAAATCAAGATACTTATCGTACACAGGAAAAATCTAAGAGCCTTCATCTGAGGCAAATCAAAAAGTTTACCCGGTTAGGTATAACAAAGGTAGGAATTTCTTGAAAGATAATTAAGTCCTCTTGTACCAAAGAGGTGTAGAAAGTTTTAGTGAATGTTGTCTCATAGATTTGACGCTCCCCAATTATTACCTAATATCTCAATTATATACTCCGTTGGACCAAAGGAAAACAAAACATGGAAAAAACAAGCAAACCCTCATTCTTCCAAAATATTTTACATTTTTATCCAAAAACGTCGTGAGCAATGAATTGAGTGGTAACGTGCCCTGAAAAGTGGGCTAAAATACGGGATTTTCAGCGATTGATAGGGTCGGGGCTAATCAGCCAACATTTCACTTCTGTTCATAAAATGGAGGCCTGAGTTTTAAAATTCCTCGTAATATTGTAACTAGTTGTAAATTTGTACAAAATTTGTGATACTTTTTGTATAAAGTGAATAATAGCTGAAAATGAATTTTGAGGATCAACATTCAACAATGACACTGATGACCCATTTGCAGCGTGTGAAGACGGTTTCAGTTTCACAATACACTCGAAAAACACGCAACTAAATCTGCCGTGATAGGACAGAGAGCTGAAAAATGTACTCTAAAATTTTCAAAATCGATTTTTTTCTCAGAATTTATCTAATCTAATCTATGTGGAATCACTGATCGTGAGAATATAAAACGTGTATTCTTTGTATAAAATAATTATTTCTTTATGAGAATCTTGTTGTTTCACACAAAACAGCCGCAAGAAAAACTATTTCACCAGAGAAAACCAATGACAGCAGTAACCTTAAGTAACTCAATAGTTCATAGGAATTCAGCGTGAAGATAATGAACTTTTTATCGGAGGAAATTTGGCAACTCTTAAATGTTCATAGGCGTTTTTCTTTAGCACAACAGTTTGATGATTTATATTTTTTATGTAAAAAAACTGATTAACTCTCATTGGTTGATTTCAATAATTGTCTTTACTTATTCAGATCAAACTATGAGTAAAGTTGGTCGAAAAGTTTCCATAAATAGACATTAGATTCCCAAGATATACGTAAATTCTTCGAGCAGATTTGGTAACGTGTAGATGTAGGTCTATGCACCTTGCGTGGCATCGCACTAGACATCCTGTAAGAGACGGTCGTTGAAGAAGAAACAGTTTCAAATGAGAATCTTCTTGTCACAATAGTTCATGGGAATTTAGCGTGAAGCGGTGGAAGGTAAAAACGCCTTCAATAAAGTGAATAGGCACAATGAGCTCCTAGGAGGTCGAATAGTGGTATCACGCCCCTCAGCACACATCTTATATGATTTTGTGTTTAAAAGCGTGTCGCTTTTTGCTTCCGTACCAAGGAAAAACGCCGTATGAGCCTTCAGATGTTGCCATATTTCCTTCGATAAGCAAAGTATTTACTTGAAAAATTGGGAAAATTTTTATTCATATTTTTCTAACAATTTTGTTCGCAATTTAATCTAAATGATCTGAAAAGCTAAAGGAAAAATACGCATAGCTTTTCACTAAAATGAGCATTTTATCGTAGGAAATTTTGCAACTCTTGAATGTTCATATGGATTTTTTTCGTGCATGACCAGCAGTTTAGGTGATTCTTTCGGCAGTTAAAAAAATTTACTACCTTTAATTGATCGATTTGAATACTTTTTTCTAGGTTCTCCAGATCAATACATACTCGAGCTATATGTGTTTTAACCTTCTCGCGCCGCTCTGGCCGCTCTGCCCACCATTAATGGGATTTTTCAATCAATGCATTTTGTCTGTTCGGTCTTTGATCCCTGCAAATAGACTGATTTACTGACTACGTCATTCGATATAATATTGACCTCAGTGGCTCAAACCAAAAAAGTAAAACAGATCTTACGCACACATTCTGTGTGAGTGGATGGTGCTTGTTCATTACAGTTTAGTCATTGACGGATCAAAAATCAATTAAGGACTAATTAAATACAGGAAAGTTTGATTGTAAGATACACTTGAACGCATTCTATCACCATGTCGCGATTCACGAAGGGCACGAATAAGAGACACGGTTATGTGTTTGTTTAAGCCCAATGCACACTATCAAACTTTCCATTGAACATAATGGACCACTAGACAAGGTACGAATTTAAACAATGTGATACATGCTTCTTAACACGACGTTCACGTAGAACACGATTTGCGCAACGAAAATTACTGAAATAAACTCTTAACGAAGATATTAACGTTTTTATTTCACATTGGTCATTAGGGATTTGAACTGCCCGCTCACAAGAAACTCAAAGCTCTACGCGAGTCAAATCGCGCACTACAACGGTTTCAGCAAGCCTCTTAATAATCGAGCAATATACATTTTCCACCATGTGTTGCTCAAACTATAAGCAATTTACTGTAGCTGAGCCAAAGTGTCAAGATTGAGGTTGCCAGATTTTTTTATCGCAAATACTGTCATGATAACGTTTAGCGTTCGATGTGAATCACGTAGAGCATTGAGTTTTCATAAGAGGGTGGTTTGAATTCACGCATCAAGAATCATTGAATATCTTCGTAAGGGGTTGATTATTGTACTTTTCGTTGTGCGCATCGTGTTTTACGTGAAATTTTAGTTGAGAAACATGTATCAGGATGCTGAAATTCGTACCTTGTCTAGGGGTCCATTGAACAACATAATAGTTGGATGGAAAGAAGGACGCAAAAAAAGTTGATTCAATTACTGTTGCAGTGCGATATCGTCATCAGCCTGCGGTTCGCGAAGATACAACGTCGGCTCATGTCGATCGGAGGATTTCGTTCCAACTTTGCTTTCAACTTTTCGTTTTTTTTTCGTTTAAGTGTGTTCAAAAGTTGAACGAAAAGTTGAATGTGACGTCACATTCAAGTTTTCGTTCAATTATTTTTTATCAAATTGCCGTTTTCTCTCGTCAGTATCACACTATCCAACTTTTCATTCGACAAGTTGTATCCAAGAGTTGGATGAAAAGTTTGATAGTGTGAATTTGGCTTAACTCGGCGCATGTAAGGAGCCCGGCCCGCCCCTTAGCGAGACAGAATCCTACCTTTAGGAGAACTCGTGAAAAACGTACTGAAAATGTCCTCTCCGAACTGTTTGAGCGTGGCGACGGGCTTGGAGTCGAGGTAGTCGAGCGAGATGGAGAAGGCGTCCAGGTAGCGGTCCACTTTGGCGACGAGGTAGTCGTCGAGGTCCTCCAGGGAGCGGGTGGTGTCGAGGCTGCCTTGGGCCGAGAGGGTGGCCACCAGCTCTGGGGGCAGCCGCAGGGGTTGCGCCGTCGAGTTCCGCTTGTGGATCGTCACCCCCGGCAGGATCTCGTACTGGTTCTTCTCGTCCAGAGTCTCCAGGATCCGCAGCACGTCCAGCTTCACGCAGACCACGTTGTACTCCACGTCACATTGCTTGTCGATTATCTGCAGCAGGAGGAATTTTTACGATATAATCTTGAACTTTCAAAAGTTTCCCAATTTAAAAAAAACTCAGATCAGCGGTCCGATAGTTTAAATTGATAGACAAAGCTATAGACAAAGAAGACGATAAGGATATGGAGGGAGCCTATTGGTGGAAGTGAGTGGTTTCAATAAACAAAGGAGGCAGGTAATAGACTAACTAACGGCAACCGACGAGAGACCCTTTAGTTATTCCACCATTCTCTCCCCTAGTCTATAGGAACCACGCACATCAACCAATAGTATCGCTCCATACTAACTATGTCTTCTTTGTTTATCAATTTCAATAATCAAAATACGGGTTATATAGACACACCGTCCGCGTTCCGGGTTCAGAGGCCGAATGTTCCGAGCTTAGCAACCGGAGCAATTGAAGCTACGGCTCCAGGACCCGGAATTTTCGGCCTCCGAGTCTTGAACGGAAGGTTTGTCTATAATATAGACAAACCTATATGGAACCTATAGACTCTATATATCCCGTATTTTTTTTTTTCAGTGCAAAAAGTCTTCCTGAGAGCTGAAAAAGAATTTTAGTGATTACTAGATTATTGTTTATATCGATGGTGAAATTACAAAATCATGTCTCCATTACGGTGTTCCAAAATCTCCGCTCCTATTTTATTTTTTCGAAGGAAAACCATTCAACTGTACAATTTTGAAATTTCTACGTAATATTCTGCTAATAAAGAAGAAACATCCAGGGAGTTTTTAAGAAATTATACTGACAAGTTATAGAAAGTAAGACCGGATGTCTGCAGCGTCGCAAACGGAGGTACTTGGTTTTGTAATTTAGCCATCGATATAAAAACCCGGAAATAAATTAAAAATTGTCTCAATTTTTGTTATATGCGCTCGATTTTAACAACATGACAAAACTGCGTAGTTTTCTTAGCATTTGAGAGCTCTTCATTCGTTTTTGCTAAACTCGATGCATTAACGAAGAAAATTCGTGAAATTCTCGT